AGGCAGGGGTGGGTAGGGTGGGGGTGCCTGGCCTGCCAGGGCCACCATGAGAGTGGAGGGTCCCAGGGACCACCGGAGAAAGCTGGTTAGAAATGGAGTACAGGCCCCAGGAACACAGGAAGTGGGGAGCACCTGGTTTCTGGGTGTCTTCAAGCAGCATCTACATTCCATGTGGGGAAGCGGAGCTGAGGGGTGGAGCAGAGCAGCCAAAATTACATGGGATGCATGAAATTTTCACATCAAGCTCCATACCCAGACTTTGGTTTTAAAATGATGTAATGTATCCACATGCCTGCCCTCCCTTCTCCAAATATTGTTTGAAATGACCAAAGAAATAAAAATCCAAGACAAAAAAATATCTGCTGCAGTACTGAAATACAGGGAAGGATGACATCAACAAACCAGAATTTCTCAGTTTGAAACAAATGGAATCGGATTAAGGGAAAACTATGAGTGTCAGATATCCGGTCATAAAAATCAACCATTTCCTCTGCTCCAACAATAAGCAGCTATAAAATGTACCAGCACAAGCACACACTGGCAAAAGAAAAGTATGTAGAAATAAACTTTTTAAAAAGGCACAAAAGACAGCTGAAAAAAATTATAAAATCTTACTGAAAGACAAAAAAAAATTTAAGAGGGAAGAACTTTCCTCTAAGTAAGGAGACAATATTATAAAGTCATTAATTCTTTCCAATTAATCTACAACCAAAATAATTTCAAATTCACTCCAAATCCTAAGGGGATCCATTTTGGAACTTAACAAATTGAACCAATTTTTTTTTTTTCTTTTGCACCAGGGATCGAACTTGGGTCCTTGCGCTTGCAAGGCAGGTCACCAAACTGCTGAGATAAATCCCGGCCCTAGATTTAATCTGGAAGTGTAATTAAAAGTAGAGCAAAAGTTTTTAGAGAAAGGGTAACCAGGAGGGCCTGTCCTGCCAGCAAGTGAGAGTGGAGAGATGGCAGAGAAACAGACAGATGGATTAGGGGACAGAACACAGCCCAGAAAACAGGACCAAACGCATGAGGACTAAAATAGGATCACAGTGGCAGTTCAATCACCAGAGAACAGGCTGATTATTAAATAAGTGGGAAGGGGAGGAACTTGCTTTAAAATCTTATCAAATATCATATGTAAGAATAAATGTTTGAGGAATTAAAGATTTGAGCTTTAAACAGACAAAACAATTCACAAAAAAATACTAGCAGAAAAAAAGATCAATATGTTTTTATAATCTTGGAGTAAAGAAGTCCTCTCCAAGGCCCATACAAAAGCCAGAAAATCGACGCTACTGACAGACTTATCTGGTTATTTTTGTTTTCTGTTTGGCAGAACCAGGGGAACCCTGAGCAAGCCTCTCTACCACTGAGCCAAACTCCTGGCTGGTTCTACTGGTAGACTCAAATGCATGAAAAATGAAAACTTCTATACTGGAAAAGACATCGTGAATAAGATGAAAGGCAGTCAATAAATGTGAAAAGGGCATCTGTGTGCCATATGACAGGTGATGAATGAGTGCCCTTAATGTAGGAGAACCCCAGGAGCTCTGGCAAGTTGCTGGGGACACGTGACCGTGGGCAGGGGCTTCTCCTCCCTATGCCTCTGTTCTCTCTTTGGGAAGAACAGAATCCAAGGCAATGCCTTCCACGCAGGATGGTGACGATCCACAGGAGAGGCATTGGGCACGGGGCCCGGAGTGTGAACACAGCAAGGCCCAGCAGACAGGCGGCCTGAGCACATTCCAGGAAAGTTACTGACTAAACAGGGCCCGCGAACAGTCAAGAAGGCCCTGGAGAACACGTCAGCGTGATTCCGTGCGGGCAGTGAGGCTGCACTCACTCAGCAGGACATGAGCAGTGGGTAGAAGGACAAGGGATAGCAACACGCACTGACAGAGAAAGATGTCCACAAGCTCAGGGCAACAACTATATACTGCAAAGTCAAGCACGTCTTAGGCACTCACTGTCCTGGGTGCTAGGGACACAGCAGTGAAGAACAAGGCAGAACAGACCTGTCCCAGTGCCATAAATACTCATTCAGCCAACAGGTGACAAGTGGTAAGGAAGAAAGGCAGGGAAAGTACACAGGTGGGAGGTGGGGGAGGCAGTCCCGGGTCTAAATGGGGTGAGAAGAAAGGGAGGGTGTCTGGGACGTTATACACACGTGCAGACATACACAGAAGTATGGAAGGGTTAATATCACTGTCACTGTTTTGCTTTCTACTTTTTGCCTACTTCAGTACTGTCTTATTTGTTTTAAAATAAGTACAAGGGCCAGGGATTTAGCTCAGTGGCACCAAGCCTGCCTTGCAAGCGCAAAGTCCTGAGTTGGGTCACTGGTACAAAAAAAAAATTACAGAAAATGCTTATGAGCAACACAGCATGTAGGGGAGAAAACTAAATACATTTGCACATCAACAGACAAGCTCTTGCAGATAGGATTAGAGACAGCCACTCAGGGAGGAGGCTGTGGTCTCATGCCTGGTGCTGTAGCGCCTCCTGGTGGCAAATTTCCTAAATGATCAATCACACCTAACCCTGTCAAGGTAAGAGACAAGATCCACGGTTGCATATAAAACAGTATTAAAACATTTCACCTGTGACAGGGACAGCAAAGGAAATGGGCAGACACATGCAGAGTTTGATCAGCTGGGATATCAGGGTTACGGCGGAATTTAGCCAGCTTGAGCTCTCAATCACAGATTATAATGACAATTCACTCCTTGGCTGCTCATCACTGGACAGAGGTGGTGTGAGGGGTGGGCAGGGTGGCCCAGAACCCAGAACCCAGCCTATCTGCCCAGGTTCCTGGGGGACTCATAAAGATGAGTGACAGACCAAAGGGTGCAGACTGCTTGGAAGAAGTGCCCAGGAGCGAGTCCTGGACCCTGGCCAGGATGGGCAGCCACCTTGCTGCCCTCAATGGTTCATCACTGAGCTCCTGCCCTGACTGCTGAAGCCCTGAGGTGCCAAGGGTGAGCAGGAAGTGACACCAAGACGTCCACCTGGAAGACCGTTCCCTTCCTCTGTTGCAGTCGCACGCCCTTGCTCTGTGCCTCTGCTCAGCCCTCTGCAGCACCTGTCACTGTGAGCTCCGAAGGGTGAGGGCCCATCTCAGTCACCTTCAGCACGGGGCTTGGATGCCCAACAGCCCTGGGTCTGAACCCCAGCTCTGCCATTTACCACCTATGTGGCAAGTAGCTACACGCTCCAATTCCCCCTCTGTTAAGAAAGGTACAGGCTGCATCCAACACATGGGGCTGGTGCAGGGATTCACGAATGCTAACGGCCAGCCGTAGAGGACTGGGGTGTCAGGCACCTGTGTATTAAGCTCCATCGTGGAATTGTTTCATCCCCATTTCTCAGCTCAGTCAGCAGTGCTCTCAATGAAAATGAATGAACTACTCCTCCACTACCACAGAAAAAGAGAACCACTCCATCGGCACCCCAGCCACCCAGTTCTGCTGCCCAAACAGGCACAAAGGGTCTAGGAGGAGAGGAAACCTCTGGCAGCTGTGAGTACCTTGCAGGGGGTGGGGGACCTGGCTTGGAGCTGATGCCTGGGGTAGGCACCAACACTGACCGGCTTGAGCTCTGTTGGGACCCAGAAGGGGCCTCAGCTAAAAGTAGATGAGCTTTGCCAACAATCCTAATTTGGCTCTCTCTCTCTAGGCTCTGTACTGATGAACCTTAAACACTCATCAGTGGTTTCTGGCAACGTTTTCTGCAGCAGTGGGATCCTTTAAAGATAATGGCCTGTCCCTGCATTCCAACCACTGCTGAGCAGGCAAGGCCATGGTCCTCACAGGAGTAGGTCCTCAGACATGGTGGTTGAGGAAAGCCAGGTCTGGGGGAAGGAGAGGTTTAGGGGCAACTCACACACGGAATCGCAGGCCTAGGGGTGTGCTCTGTGCTGGGTGTGCCTTCTTCCAGGCTCTCCTTGAGCCCTGGCAAGTGACTCCACTGTGCCCACAGCCCACCCATGGAAGGAGATGTGCAGACCCACAGGTGCAAGGGCTGCAGTAGCCTCCAAGGCCACACACAGCCTGCTTCTCCCAGCTGGGGAAGGGGGCATTGCTCTTCTCCCTCAAATATCACCCTGGCTCCTCATTCTAAGTGTCACTTCCTAAGGGACCCTCCTGTGGTGCCCATGTGTGTCCTCCTCCAGCCTGGCACAGAATCCAGACTTCTCCATAGCATGCATCAGGTCTGTCATGAACTACGCATGCAGTGGATGTGTCATAGCTGTGGCCACCGCCTGTGGCTTCCAAGGCTCACAACCCCTTTTCTGAGCAAGCGCTACCTGCATGATTCTCACGCCTGGCTCAGGCTCTGCGTCTCCCTCTTGGTCAAGCAGGACAGGGTACAAGAACATGATGATCTCAAGTGGGAGGTGCCAGATGTTAACATAGTAGATAGGCCACGTCTTCATTGTACAAACAGGGAAACCTAAGTCCACTTGTCTAAAAAGCACAATCACTTATCAAACACAATCAATTTCAAAAGAAACAAATGACAGAAAAGGTATAGTTATTATATAGGGTGTCTCTTGGTTTTTACTTATTTTAAAACCATATATTATTGGATTTCCTATTGAAATTACAAAAGCAACATTCTCTGTTACTGCAGCCTAACCCAATAGAAGCACACACAAAAAAGGTCATAACCCCAAGGCCCCCCTTTCTTCCACCCCAGGCAAGTGCAGAGAGCAGCAGGAACATATCCCTCTGAGCCTTTCTGCCCAGCAACATAAACACACACCACTGGAGCCCAGGGCCACCCTCTGAGCCTGCAGTCAGACAGATCATGTCAACGGTGACACTGCGGGAGTAACAGACCCAGGACAGAAAGGCCCTATGGCCACCACACCACAAGAACTGTCAATCTGGAACTTGTGCAGAGCATTGAAGTGGGCACTGTGAGACTGAGCGCGTGCGGAGTAGCAGAGCCATAACAGCCTGGGCTTTGGAGGCCTGTTCCCATCCTCAGCTCAGTACCTGTTTGCTGGGAGACCACAGGCAAGTGAGTCGGTTCCTCTGTGCTTCGAATCCCTTGTGTGGACAGAGGTGACCTTGGAGCTCCGACTGCGTGTCTGACCTGAGACACTGAAAAGCAATATACAGCACTTAGCACAGCGCCTGTATGCTCCACCCCAGGGGCCACCAGATGGCAACACCTGCCAGAGGGTACAAGGTGTCTTCTCCCTGTTTGCGGCAGCCTGCCTGACTCGGCGGCAGGGATGAACCTGGGACTGGGGCCCTAAGACTTGGTAGCCTCTGTTCAGGTGGGCCAGGAGAAACGAGCTGGCAGCCTGTGATCTTCCTGTGGACCGGGACCAGCTCGGCTCAGATTGGCAGATACCTGGGAGCATAGACAGCAGATAGGAATTTCATTTCCAGAACCAGACTGGCCTAGGGTCAAACCCCACTCTGCCACTGACTTGCTTCAGAGAAACTGCTCCTCTCTAGATCTGTTTCCCCATGTGTTCTTTCCTTTAATGGCTCTTCCCAGTGCTTTCTCAAGGGAGCCAACCCCACGGAGAGGTAAGTTTTAGGGACCTTGCTTCTTCTGTATCCTGTATGAATGACTTGTAGTATAGTTAATCATGTACCAGAAACTTCGCCTTCTGCCTCTTTCATGACACAGAGTTGACAGAAGAATCTGAAAAATGTTATAATAGTTCAGTACTCTGCACAGAGGCCTGGCCCCGGATCCCTCTCCAGCTTGCCTACCACCCTCCTCCGTCCCACACTCATGCTGTGACAAGGAAACCTACCCGGATACAGATGCCACTGAATCGTCTGTGGCTCCCCCAACCCACTGCCAGGCCACCCTCTGCACAGGCACCAGCTTGCATGGCCTCAAGCCCCAGCTCACCCAGCTTCCCGATCCTTCACTACTACCAGTTGGAAAAACAAATAAGAAAGCATTTCTAGCATAGGCATGCTTTTTGTAAATTAAATACACGGTCTAAGGTATCAATGCATTAAATACTGCAAAACAAACATTCAAGTAAAGAGATAAAAATGAAAAACACGATAAAATGATTTAATTCAACATACAAAAATATTTTTTTATTTTCATTCTCAGTAACTGTTAAGTGAGCACAATGTGATGAATATGCTTCCCTTTTCTAGCACTCCTGTGCACTTGTTTATGGAAGTAGAACGCCTGTACAGAAAAGTGTGCACAACGCTAAGGGTGCATCACAAGGGGAGCACAGCCTTGCACCATCACTTGGGTGGAGAATCATCACCAGCCCCCAGCCCACTGTGCCCCTTTTGTGATATGCCACCTCTCAAGAGTCACCTACTATTCTCACTTCTAACAGCTCCAATTAATTGTCAGTTTTTAAACTTTCTATAAAGGGACTTGTGAAGTAGAAGCCTGCTGTGTCTGAATGAACGCTGTGAAGGTCACCCACCCAGGTTTCCCCATCAGATCACTGTCCGTCGGCTCCTACTGACTCTAGTATTCCCTCCTCATGGAAGTCACTCCACACAGCAGTCCCTCCACCTCAGGTGGACACTGGAATTGCGTCCAGCTGGGTGCTACTGTAAACACATCAAGCCTCCAGAGTGCAGGCACACGTGTTTCTGTGTGGATCTCAAAGCTGGATAGACACCAAGCACTGGAAATTCTGGGTCAAAAGCTGCATCTACATCTGCTTTGGCAGATGACCCCAAACAGTTCCAAAGTGATTACACCAACTTACACTTCACCAGTAGGGCAGTTAGGGCTCTGGTTGCTCTGTAACTTCGCTGAGGTATGATACTATCTTTTTTCCTCATTTTAGCCATTCTAGTGGGTAAGAAATCACAAAGTAAACACTACAGTTCCTTTTTTTGTTTGTTTTTTTTTTTTTTGGTACCAGGGATCAAACTCGGATCCTTGTGCTTGCAAGGCAGGTGGCAGTACAGCTCCTTTTAAAGATAGGGAGTGAATTAAATGCAGAAAAGTGAAAAATTTCCCTCTAAAATCAGGAACAAAACAAAGATATCCAGTATCACCACTCCTGTTCAATATGATACTCAAAACATTAGCCTCTGGAGCAGTTAGGCAAGAGAAAGAAGCATGTATGGGAAAGCAAGAAGTCAAATTATCACTATTTGCAAATGACATGAACCTCCACATAGAAGACCCTAAAGCTTCCACCAAAAGACTGCTAAATTAATAACCAAATTCAGCAATGCAGCAGGATGCAAAATCAACACACATAAATAATTAGCTTTCCTGTACACCAATAATGTACTCACTGAGAAAGAAATGAGGAAAACAATACCATTTATAATAGCATCAAGAAAAATTAAATACTTAACCTAACCAAGAAAGTGAAAAATCTTTGCAACAAAAATGATAGTACTCTGAAAAAGAATATTGAAGATATCCCTTGTTACTGGATAGGCAGAGGCAGTATGGTCAATATGGCCATACTTCCAACATTGATACACAGATTTAACACAATCCCAATCAAAATACCAATAGCGTTCCTCACTGAACTACAGAAACAATCCTAAAATTCATATGGATCCAAAAGAAACTCAGAATAACAAATGCAATACTGGGCAACAAAAGCAAAGCAGGAGGCATCACAACCTCAGGTTTCAAATTATACTATAAAGTTACGGTGATAAAAACAGCATGGCACTGGCACAAAACTGGACATGTGAGTCAATGGAATAGAATAGAGGATGTAGAAATAGCCCCAGGCATGTTCAGCTACTTGATTTTTTACAAAAGTGCCAAAAACACACACTGGAGGAAAAATACCCTTTTAACAAATGGTGCTGGCAAAAGTGGCTATCCACATGCAGAAGATTGAATTTAAACCTATATCTCTCACCATGTACTAAACTAAAATCAAAATGGGTCAAAGATCTAAGTATTAAAATAGAAACACTTAATTTCCTAGAAGTCAAAACTATTGAAGTCATAGGCACAGGCAAGGGCTTTCTGAACAGAATTCCAATTGTACAAGAAATAGTACTAAGAATCAACAAATGGGATCATATCAAATTGTAAAACTTCTGAGCAGTAAAGGAAACAACCAAAAGATTAAAGAGACAACCTACAGGATGGGGAAAAAAATCTGCCAGCTATTCCCTGGATAAAGAATTAATATCTAGGCCGGGCATGGTGGTGCATGCCTGTAATCCCAGCACTCAGGAGGCTGAGGCAAGAGGATCACTGTGAGTTCGAGACCAGTCTGGGTTACATAGTGAGTTCCAGGTCAGTCTCAACTACATAGTAAGACACTGTCTCAAAAAACAAAACAAAAACAAAACAAAAAAACAGAACCACTAAGCTAAATCCCAGGCCTGAAAAAAAAAAAAGAATTAATATCTAGAATATATAAAGAACTCAAGAAAATTAGATCTTCTCCCAAAATAAAAGAGTTAATTTAAAAATGGGCAACTGAAATGAACAGACACCTCCCAGAAAGCCAACATCTCTGGCCATTAAAGAAATGCAAACGAAAAACAACACTGAGAGTCCAACTTACTCCAGAAAGAATGCCTATCATCAAATGCTGGCAAGGCTGTGGGAAAAGAGGAACTCTTCTACACTGTTGATGGGAATGTAAACTGGTACAACTGCTACGGAAATCAGTATGGAGATTCCTCAAAAAACTAAAACTAGAAATTCCATTTGACCCAGCTATATCTTCCCAAAAGAATTAAAGAGATCATATTAGCCAGGCATGGTGGTGCACACCTGTAATCCCAGCACTCAGGAGGCTGAAGCAGGAGGATCACTATGTGTTCGAGACCAGCATGGGTTACATAGTGAGTTCCAGGTCAGTTTCAGCTACATAGTGAGACCGCGTCTTTAAAAAAAAAAAAGAAATCATATTACAAGTATACATCAATCATATGTGCATGCTCAGGTTCATGCACAACTCATCACAGTTAAATCTTGGAAGTGGCCCATATATCCACCAACAGATAAACAGATAAAGAACATGTGACATTTATATACAATGGAGTGCTACTCTGACATAAAGGATAAAAAAATCAGAGGCACAAGTTTAAATATCACAGTTTCTCTTATACAAGAAGCCCAAAGTATAAATAAAGATCAAAATAAAAGATAAGAGAAAGAGACAGATATTTTTCAAATGGAAGGGTATTGAGAGATGAAGGGAAGAGAGACAGAAAGGGGATGGAAAAAGAATTGAGATGTATTACATACACGTACCAACTCCCTATAAAAGATGACATTAAATTTTAACTTATACAAATGTGGACTTTTGCGTCTGATTTCTTTCACTTAGAATTTTTCAAGTTCATCCATGTTACAGCACGCATCAATACCTACAATTCTTTTGACTGAAAACTCCTCCATCACAGGGAACTCTTAGGAGCCCGAGGACATAGATTAGACGTGCTGTTTATCCATTCATCAACGAATAGATACTCTATTTTGAGTGCTGGATAATGTGCTATAAAGACACAGATACAGATTTGTGTACAGAATACATTTCTTGGGTATACTGCCTAGGAGTACACTAGCTAGGTCATATGGTAACTATCTTTTTGAGGAACTACTATATTATTTTCCAAAGACAATGCACCATTTTACATTTCCACCAGTCCTGTACAGCTCTGCACAGGAAGGTGCCAAGAAAACCTCTCCAGGGCAGTTGGGAAAGATGGTTCCTCAAGGCACTGCCATAAAAGTAGCTCCAGGCAGACTGGACACCCTACTAGAAGACACGTGTCCAAACACACTGGAGGGCCCGGAAACTGCTTTCACATCTTCACTCCTGGCAGTTGAATAGTTCTTTTGAATGCACAGCAGGCTCATACCCAGAAACTCTGGTTTGAACTGGAATCTTGTTCCTGTGTTTACTACTGATTAAAATTTAATGTTATCTCTTTTCATAATTATTTCCTTCACATTCTTTTGATAGTCTTAAACATAACTATTTAGAACCAACTTTATACTGGAGTGAGTGCTCTCAGTGCCAATCCTTTCATTCTCTGACCTGCCCTCCCATGGGTTAATTGGGTTCATCTTAGCTGCCAGAGCAAGCCTTCTAGTGCTTTTCCCCCAGGAAGGGTTGTGAATGTAGTAAAAGCTGCATACAAGGTGTGTCCTTCACAAATGAAATAAAT